CAGACAACATACACTGGGGAAAGGAAGTCCCCTTCAGTAAATTGTGCTGGGAAAATTGGACAGCCACATGAAAAAGAATGAAACAGGATCCCTATCTCTCGCCATATACAAAAATTCAAGATGGATTAAAGACTTAAATGTAAGGCATGAAACCATGAAAATTCTAGTAGAAAATGTAAGAAAAACTCTTTTAGACATTGGCCTAGGCAACAAATTTATGACTAAGAACCCAAAGGCAAATACAGCAACAACAAAAATAAATGGAACTTAATTAAATTAAAAACCTTCTGCACAGCAAAGGAAATAATTGGTAGAGTGAATAGACAACACACAGAATAGGAGAAAACATTCGCAAGCTATATATCTGACAAAGGACTGATAAACAGAATCTACAAGGAATTCAAACAAATCAGCAAGAAAGGAACAGCCCCATCAAAAAGTGAGTAAAAGACATTAAGAGAAGTTTTTCAAAAGAAGATAGACAAATGGCCAACAAACATATGAAAAAATGCTCAGCATCACTAATCATCAGGGAAATGCACATTAAAACTTCAATGAGATACCACCTTACCCCTATCAGAATGGCCATTATTAAAAAATCAAAAAACAGTAGATGCTGGCATGATGCAGAGAGAAAGGAATGTTTATACACTGTTGGTGGGACTTCAAATTAGTATAGTCTCCATGGAATACAGTATGAATATTCCTCAAAGCAATAAATAAATGTAGGCCTACCATTCAACCTAGCAATCCCACTGCTGTATATCTACCCAAAGGAAATGAAGCCACTTTATCAAAAAGACACTTGCACTTGATTGTTTATTGCAGCACAAGTCACAGTTGTAAAGATGTGGAATCAACCTAAGCGCCCATCAGTTCATGAGTAGATAAAGAAAATGTGATAAATATATTCCATGGAGTACTAGTACTCAGCCATAGAAATGAATGAAATAATGTTACTTGGAGCAATGTAGAAGGAACTGGAGAACATTATCTTAAGTGGAGTGTTTCAGGAATGAGAAAACCAAACAGCATATGTTCTCACAAATAAGTGGAAGCTAATAGGTGGGTACATATGGGCACAAAGCAATATAAAGGACATGAGAAACCAAGACGGGGAGACGAAGGGAGTGTGGGTGTGGGGTAAAAACTTACCTCTTGGGTACACTGAACACTTTCTGGGGACGGGCACACCAAAAGCCCTGACTTAAGCATTATACAAGATATCCATGTAATAAAAACACTTGTAGCCATTAATTAATATTTTGAAATAAAAAAAAAATTTTTTAAATAGTGAAAAGACAATGCACAGACCGGAAAAATTTTTCCAAATCATATATCTGATAAGGGTCTTGCACCCAGAATATATGAAGAACTCTTACAACTCAACAATAAAAAGGCAAATACCTCAATTTTAAAAATGGGCAAAATATTTGAATAAACATTTTTCTAAAGAGAATATACGAATGTCTCATAAGCATGTAGAAAGATGCTCAACATCATGAGTAACTGGCAAATTGCAAATCAAAATCACAATCTCACACCCATTAGGATGGCTAAAATAAAAAGCTGATATTAAGTGTTGTCAAGGATGTGGGGAGATTGGAACCCTTACATAATGCTGATGGAAATGAAAAATTGTATTGCCACTTTTGAAAGTTTGGTAGTTTCTTAAAATGGTACAGAGTTGCTATATTGACCTGGCAATTCCACTTCTAGGTATCTACCTGGAAGAAATGGAAATATGTCCACACAAAAACTTATACATGAATATTCATAGCAACATTATTTATAATAGCCAAGAAATGGATATAAGCTAAATGTCCATCAACTGAATAGATAAACCAAATGTGGTATATCCATACAATGGAATATTATTTGTCAATAAAAAGGAATGCAGTGCTACTGATACAGGCTTCAACACATATGAACCTTGAGAACATTGTGCCATGAGAAAAAAAGCCAGTCACAAAAGACTGGATATTATATAATTCCATTTTTATGACATGCCCAGAAAAGGCGAATCCATAGAGACAGAAAGTAGATTGTGGTTGCCAAGGACTATGGGAAGTGGGGGAGGTAGTGGGAGTAACTGCTAATGGGCACAGGATTTCATTTTGGGGTGGTGAAATTGTTCTAAAATAAGAGTGGTGATGGTCATACTGCTCAGTAAATATACTAAAAACCACTGAATTATATACTTTAGAAAAGTTAATGTTATCGTATGTGAATTGTATCTCAAAGTGTTACTTTTCAAAAGGCAGCATTCACAGTTAATCTGTTTATGGTGAAAGTATATTTACATGTTAGTGGTATAATTTTTAAAAGAGAAAATAAATTAATAGACAGTTCCTGAGATCGTTTTCGGCTCTAGTATTCTAGGACCCCATGCTATTGAGATCATTGCAATGAAAAGGTAACCCAGGGAAGTCAGGGCCTAGCGCCCTGGAGCTGGGTAGGAGACATGGAGGCAGAGAAGAGAAGTAAAGGCCTGGGTAGAATTTTCATAGTCTAGGCCCTGAATTTAGCATAAGATGCTTCCAGGCCTTGGGGCCTGTTCTTCCCTGCCCTTTCCTAACCTCTGGGGCCCTTCTATCCTCAAGGCTCAGCTTTAGTATCACACATTACAGGCTGTGTTCTTCAGGAAGCAGACCCCGAAATGTAATTAGAAGTGGGAAAAAAAGTGTTATTGGGGACATGTTAAAGGAAAAGAGGAGGAAACAGGATTGAGCAGAGGGATGGCAGCAGACCATGCAGATCTAACAAAGTCTCTGCGAGCTCAACAGGGAACTCTGCAGCCAAGATTTCCTATTTGAGGAGTACTGTCTTGGGTAGAAATGAGTCGGCCCTTTACTACCAGTCGCTAGCTGGGAACCCCTCTGAGAAGAACATGAACTTAGTTCAAAACCTCGGGTAGATCCTGAACAATCTAACAGCTGGAGACTGTCAGCTAACCGTATTCCTTGAGGCAACAAGTTTTTCCTTAAAGGGGATCTGTCAGTACCTCCAAGTCTGCCATGCCTCCTTGTGAAATGTGCCTTGACCCTCCTCCCACCCCGGGGGGAGGTATAGCTCTCTCTTGAGAGAGATACCATTCTTATTACCACTCTTGGTTTATCATTTATCCTCTTCCCCCCAGGTTCTGAACTCTCGGAGGACAGAAACTCAATCTGAATCTCTAATGTCGAATACGGAGGAGGCTTCATTGTAATAAAATTGTCTTGAGAGCAGGAACAGTCGAGGACTCCCAGGGACTGCTTTCTTGTGATGTCTCTAACTTTTTTTTTTGAGACAGTCTCACTCTGTTGCCCTGGCTAGAGTGAGTGCCGTGGCGTCAGCCTAGCTCACAGCAACCTCAAACTCCTGGGCTCAAGCGATCCTCCTGCCTCAGCCTCCCGAGTAGCTGGGACTACAGGCATGTGCCACCATGCCCAGCTAATTTTTTCTATATATTTTTAGTTGTCCAGATAATTTCTTTCTATTTTTAGTAGAGACGGGGTCTCGCTCTTGCTCAGGCTGGTATCGAACTCCTGAGCTCAAACAATCCGCCCACCTCGGCCTCCCAGAGTGCTAGGATTACAGGCGTGAGCCACCACACCCGGCCTGTCCCTAACTTTTAAAATTTAAAACTTTAAAATTTCCAAGGAGCCAGTCTTTGGACTTAACCCCTTTTCAGTCTATCCCTTCTCTATTGATGATCTCATGGCTTTAAATACAGTCTATCTGCTACTGACTTCCAAATTTATGTCTCTAGCTCATATCTCTTCCCTGAAATCCAGACTCATTCCCCCCTGCCTACATGACGTCTCTGTTTGGATGTCTGATTAGGCAACTCAAATTCAGCAGTTCTCAAACTAAACTGTTGATCTTATTCCTAAAACCTGCTCCCCCTCACTCTTCCCTACTTTATTATACTTAATAAAAGTCCATCATTCTTCTTGCTTAGGCCAAAAATTTGGAGTTAAATTTGATTCCTCTCTTTCTCTACTATCTCTAATGGGTTTATCAGTAAATCAAGTCAATTTTTGTCCAGAATCTGACTTCTCACATCAGAATGAATCTGATCATTCTGGATACTGAGATTTTTGCAGTAGCAAAAATTGGTTTATTTGTCTGTGTTCCACCTCCCACCCTCGAACCTCTTCGTCCTCCTCCTTCATCTCTCCAATTCTATTCCCGACATAGCAACCAGAGCCATCCTTTCCAAATGTAAGTCAAATCATGTCACTCCTCTCCTCAAACCCTCTAGTGGTATGTCCCGTGGCTTCCCTTCTCAGAGTAAAAGTAATCAAAATCATCTACAGATCTCAATTTGTTCTGATCCCCTACTTGCTCCCAAACCTCATCTCTTAATTTTTCCCCCTCACTCTTAGCTTTAGCCATACTGTCCACCCGGTTATTTCTTGAACACATGAAGGTCCTGCCTTAGGGCCAATGCACTTGGTATTCTGTCATATTTTCTTCAAACCTGGTTCTTCACCTTCTTCAAATGTTTGCTCAAACGTTAACACACTTCAATTCTCAGTGACATGTTCCCTGACCTACCTGAGGGGAGAAGAAAGAGGCTCTTCTGAAAAAGTTTGGCAAAGGATATAGATTTTTTAATCTTACTAATATAATATGCAGTATAATAGGTTTCAGTAATTAAGGGATGATTCCATCAGCAAGGGAAAATCCAGTCATTTAACCATTGATTTCTGAAAATTGGATTTTTAACTTTTTTAATGTATGTGTGCAATGCTTAGACTATTGCAATATAAATTACATATGGAAAATTGTAATGATACTTCAAAATTATAATGATACCTCACTGTTTTTAAAAAGTTCGCAGCTATTCTGATACATAAAAAGGCATGCATTTTAATACGTCATAGTGTCATCATGTTGACAGTGTCAACAAAGTTGTCTCATAATTGATCATCATTTATTAAAAGCAGTAGATTCAATAGCTTAGTGAAAGAGTCTGGTGTTTAATTATTGCTACTGAATTTTTCTTACAGGGCAAAGTTCTAAAAACATCAGTTCATCTCCAAGCATTGAGAGTTTGCCTGGAGGAAGAGAATTCACTGGCTCCCCACCTACATCTGCTACTAAAAAAGATTCCTTTTTTAGCAACATCTCCCGTTCTCGCTCACACAGCAAAACTATGGGCAGAAAAGAATCTGTAAGTATTTAAGGACAATTTTCTTTTTATTTTTCATTTTCTTCTAGAGTGCTAGCATTTATGAAAGCTCCTTTAGTGCCCAGTTGTATAAAGATCTTAAAACTTTTCTGGACTAAAATGAATTATTTTATCAAAAATATCTTAATTTTATTATTATAATTTAGTATCATTTTAAGACTATGGTCTATGTATTACACTGGGGGGAAGGTAGCATCAATCTAAAATAAATTGAATCTTACCCAAATCTCAGTCCTTTTCTCCTCTACAAATGCCTTTTTTCAAAGCCCGTATTTTCTTATATCATTTAACAAATAACATTATAACAAATGAGAGAGTATGACACTTGAAATAAACCAAACTGTTTTTTTCCATTTTAAGTATTTCTTGAAAATTAAAAATAATTGTTTTACCATTTGTTTTAAAAAGCTATACAAGCTACATTTAAATTATAGTATTTTGATGGTTACTCTGTAAGATCCTTGGTATACATTTCTCAAAAGGACATAGCTAAGGCATATCAACTGCTTTAAAAATCTGGTGGTGGCTGAAATTATTGTAAGCCAACTTCACATTTAACCACATCTTATAACAGTCATGTATTGCTTAACAACAGTTTAAGTTCTGAGAAAAGTGTCATTAGGTTATTTCATCATAGTGCAAACATCATAGAGTATACTTAGACAAACCTAGATGGTATAGCCTATTATACACCTAGGCTGTATGGGATAGCCCCTTACTCCTAGGCTACAAACCTGTACAGCATGTTACTGTACTGAATACTGTAGGTAACTATAACACAGTGGTAAGTGTTCGTGTATCAAAACATATTTACACATAGAAAAGGTATAGTAAAAATGCAGTATAAAAGATAAAAAATGGTGCAGCTGGATAGGGCACTTACCATAAATGGAGCTCATGGGACTGGAAATTGCCCTGGGTGAGTCAGTGATTAACTAGTGAGTGAATGTGAAGGTCTCGAACATTATTGTACAATACTGTAGGTAGTCTTCATAAATGTGGTACACTTAGACTATACTAAATTTATTAAAAAATTAGTTTTCCTTCTTTAATAATAAATTAACCTTAGCTTAATATAACCTTTTTACTTTACAAACTTAAAATTTTTTTTAACTTTTTGACTATTTTATACCAACACTTAGCTTAAAACACAAACATATCGTATACTTTATATCCTTATTCTATAAGCCTTTTTCTGTTTTTAAAATTTTTTATTTTTATTGTTTTACTTTTTAAACTTTTTTGTTAAAAACTAAGACACAAATGCATACATTAGGCTAGGCCTACACAGGATCAGGATCATCAATATCACTGTCTTCCACCTCCACATCTTGACGCAGTGGAGGGTCTTCGGGGCAGTAACACGCATGGAGTGTCATCTCCTATTATAACAATGCCTTCTTCTGTAATGCCTCCCGAAGGACATGCCTGAGGCTTTTTGGTTAACTCTTTTTTTATAAGTAGAAGGAGTATACTGTAAAATAACAATAAAAAGTACAGTATAGTAAATACACAAATCAGTAACATAGTCGTTTATTAAGTATTATTTACTGTACATAATTGTATGTGTTATTCCACGATGTTATGACAGGTATGATATCACTAGGTGATAGAAATTTTTTTAGCTCCGTTATAATCTTATGGGACCACTGTCATATATGCAGTCACCGTTGACCACAACATCATTATTGAGTACATGACTGTGGTTCAACACCTAATATTCTGATATGAAGAACTTATCTGCTCACTAGAATAGGATGCAAATGTAAAGGTAATACAGAAAAGGATCTAGCTATGACTCAAATGGTCCTAAATTAGAAACAAACTGTAAAATCTGTGAGGGATAATTATTTAAGGTGCATAAAATATCATGTTATCTGTCTGTATGACTTTGTATGTCCTTGGGCAAGATACTCAGCTTCCTGGTTTTAGCCACCTCATCTGCAATTTAATATACTTTGCTTTCTGAAGGGCAGAGTATACATGTTCTCTTGGGATCCCTTTCAGTGTGTACAAATTGAGATTCTGTGGTATATAAAAGAGCCAAATAGAACTATGGTTTAAAGATGGCATCAAACATTTATCTCTGATTCCTTCTAAAACTCTGCTGCAAGGAAAATAAGAGTAGTTAAAGATAAACCCTCAAAAAATAAGAAAACAAGAGAGAAGACAATAGAAACAAAATTTTGTTACTTGGAAAACAGATGACAAGTGGTAACTAAACAGCCTAAGAAAGTTGAACCTTAAGTAAGCAATTGGTAAAAACCAAAGCAGCAACTTCATTTAGATTGTAAAACTCTCCAGAAGCTCAGGAACTGGAAATGCAGGTGAAAGTGAAACTGAAGACACAAGAATTGGTCAGAAGTTTCCTCAAGAAGAATTAGATTCCCTTCCCTACTTAGCAGAAGACTGGAAATTTAAATCTCTGACAAGTGTAAGACAGAGTATCTGTGGACTGAGAGAGATCAGGCACATTCCAGCGTGGGACCCTACTGGAAAAGGGGTGATGAATATATTTAGATGCTAAATTTAAGAACCTCAAGCCTCCCCAACTTGCTTTCCAGAGTACCAGAATGTATCAGCCTCTAGGCAGGGGATTGGAAGAGTTTTCTCTAGGCAAAAGACACACATACACAGAAACCATAAATATACTTACCTTAGGGGTTCTCTGAGAAACCGCCAATTCACTTTACAGTAGACCAAACCATTAACAAGCTCCATCCGAACACAGAACTTCCTCTTAGCTTTTTAGTTCACACTATTTTATATGAGCCAAGAATCACCAGACACTTAAAGAGAACATCTGATAATGAAAACATTGAAAAAAGCAACTGGGAGGAAACATGGCTATGCAGGACAAGAAAACTTCAGGAAAAATGTATAATCCATTCACAGAACAAGACAAAAGAGCAATTAGAAAATAAAATATGATATCTAAAATGTAAACCTCAATAGAAGATTTGGAAGATAAAGTTGAGGAAATCTCCCCAGAAAATAGAATATAAAACTGAAATAGAAGATAAGAGAGAAAAATATAAGAAAATTAGGGAACTGACCCAGGAAGTTCCAAATTTAAAAAAATGAAAGTTCCAGAGAGAATAGAGAAAATAAAGGAAAGGAAATAATCAAAAATACAATTCAAGAAATGTTTGCACTAATAAAAGTCTTGGATTGAATAAGTCCATAGGATGTCCCACACAAATAAAAACAAACCTATGCTTAGATAGAGCACTGAAAAAGTTGAGAACTCTAGGAAGGAAAGAATCTTACAGATTTGTAGAGTTGAGGGAAAAGAAAGATTTTCAACAAATATTCAGGAATTAGAATAACTGTAGACTTGTAAGGTGAAATTGGAAGAATGACTAATGTATTTTAACAAATTGAGAAATTTACACAACCGCACATGAGTTTGGGTCAGAATTAGTGAAAAGTTTGTAAAAGCTAAACTAATTTTAAGAAAAACAGGACAATTGGTAAGCCCAAAGAAAAACAAAGTATGTATAGGAAAAGAAAGATTATGATAAACCTTATAACTGAGCTGTGATTAGAATTACATAGACATTCTAATGTAAGTCTGTTGACTATTAATCTAATCAAAATCATTCTATAACTATTGAGAAGATGAGAACTGTGTGTTTACATGAGGAGAAGAGGGAGCAGGTGGTGGTCGTGAGTAGAGCTAAATCTTCATCTTCCCTAGTGGGAAATAAGTGGACAGTACTCTAGAGTAATCAAGAAGTAGCAATATGTTAGAGATGTAGAGGAGGAAAACAAAACAAAAAACTGGTAAAAGAATTGAAAGTGGTTGCCCTGGGGAGCAGGAAGTAGAAGGTGGGGTTGTGGGAACTCTTTTTCATAACAGGCCTTGTAGCACCATTTGAGTCATCAAGTGTTTATATATATATATATATATATATATATATATATATATATATATATAAAACTTAGATTAAAAATAACAACTAAAAATTACAACAAAAATAGATTGTATTGGCATAATAAATTAGAAGAGAAGATAATCTGCCTGTGTAAAGAACATGTCTATGAAGAACCTGAATAAGGGAATAAGAAATGAGAAAGGCATATGGAGAGAGGTTTCATTTGGATTCTATCATATTTTGGTGGCATATGGATTAGTCTACAACCACTAATTAATTACTTTTCTTTATAGTGATACTCTAACTTAAAACTGAAAAGTTGAGCAAAAATAGAGTAAGTCTAACTACTTAACCTGCTGTGAATCATGAGACAGAATGCAAGTTATCATTCAAATTTAATATATTTTCTAACTTGCAGGAAGAAAGTAAGCAGAAATTTTCAAGAGAAAGTTCATAGTTTTCCAAGTAATAGTTTCATCTTTCTATTTTATGAAATAATGTGTTGTAGTCAGTACACTTTGCCAGTTCTCCCCCATTCTAGGCACTTAATGGGATTGTACCTCCTTGTCCCTTGTGAGCTGTCAGAGTAATATGACTAGTAATGACATCCAATACCTAGTTTTCTAGAAGTCTGTTTTGGTTGATCATTCATCTGACTGTTGAATAAATTTTTACTTGTTTTAGGACTGTTAGTCATGTTCTATAATTGCTGTCAAATTGTTTTCCAAGAATATCTTTGCTAAGGCTAAAGGATAGGGACAATACTGAGTATAAGAAAAACTCTTAAATTGATTTGTCTATGTAAATAAGTTCTAATATTTAAGCACATCAGCCAATTAGAAGTATTTTTGCAAAATTCCTGATGAACTACAAGACACTTTGCTATGCTTGTGATAATTATTATAATACATACCAATCTCCAGAGATCTAAAAGTATCCATGGTTCATAATCTCTCTAAACCACAGGAAATCAAAACACGTCTGAGCTGGAAATCTCTGCATAAAACCAGATACATAATGAGATACCCACGACTGAAGGCTCACAGCACTACAGGGGGTGTTCATCCTGTGCCTTTATGACCCTTGCATGGACCCATCATTGCC